CTGAAGGATATCATGCTTGGTAGAGTGAAGGGTCAGTGAAAAAGGGGAAGACCCTCAACTAGATGGATTGCCACAGTGGCTGCCAAGATGGACTCAGACACAGCAGGGATTGTGAGGCTGGTGCAGGACCAGGCAGGTGTTTTGTTTTGTTGTACACAGGGTCGCTATGAGTCAGAGCCAACTCAATGGCACCTAACAACAACAACAAATAAACAATCCAAATGTCTTCCTATGCATAAATGGATTAAAAAAAATAAACTGTGGTACAGCCAATGGAATGCTCTTCAGAAATTAAAGAAATTATTCTGCATGATTCCCTTTATAAAACATTCTCTTCATAACACAATCATCTGATTTTTGTGTTTTTTTTTTTTTTGTTGTTGTTGTTAGACTAATTGCTAAGGTTTTCCTAGACACATCCTTTGAATGTAAACGTTATTTGACCTAGAGCTATTGCATTTTAGAACTCTCTAATTCTATAAACCCAAGGAGCGGTTGCTATGAGTTGGATCTGACTCGATGGCAGTGATTTTTTTTTTTTTTTTTTAATTCTACAAAACTAATTGGAATGTTTGGAATGTCATATAAACTTTGCACAGTGTTTGTAAGTAACCAGTGATACACAGCTGTCAAGAACTGAATATTTTTAAGTTTCTGCATGGTTAGGGATTTCTGAGAAAATTTTATTGGACCCTGAGTCAACAGATACGTCTTAGAAATTAAAGGGTAATTAGATACCTCCCTGAAGGTATGTATGTTTATATTTCAAGGGGAGATCCAAAATCCAAATCCATTGCCATCAAGTCGATTCCCACTCATGGTGACCCTTTAGGACAGAGTAGAACTGCCCCATAGGGTTCCAAGGTGGAAGCAGACTGCCTCATCTTTCTCCCTTTTGGTTAGCAGTCGAATGCTTTAACTATGCCACCAGAGTTTAGAAAGGGAAGGAGAAGGGTTCCAGATTCTTTGGCACCTAACAACCAGATTCTTAGTCTTTGGAATGTAAAGAAATGTCCCCAATGGGGAGATAAGCAGTTTTCTCTCCTTCTCCTAGGAGAGGATGGAAGATAAAGGTTCCCCTCCTATGTAAGCTCCCAGATTCTTATTTTGGGGTTCCTTGCCTACAATGCAGACTCTGGCACATGCAGGATAATACCTGGCTCTCATATTCCCTGAAAGGTGAAACTGCAGTGTGGGGAAACTGGCATAGTTATTGCTATAACCAAGTAATAAATAATTTTTCCCTGACCCAGAAACTTCTACTTTCAAAACAGTATGAATAAATATAGATATTAAAAACTTATCCATAGCATTTATATTGATATATAGATGGTCCAAGATATTGACATGGAAACTTGCCTGAAAGGGTAGCTTGTGTTAGAACCATAGTAATATGGTATGGGATTGTCCTGCTTTCCATTCACATTATTGAAGGTATTATTTGAAGGAATAGAATTTTAATGTCCTTATATTTTCCTGTCATTACAATGGAGTAACCCTCATAGCCCCCCTGTTCTCCTCTTACCCATCCCTCTCTACTCAAGAAGAATTACTTTATCTGATTGGGAGAAGCATGAAAATCTCATTCCCATTGATCCATATTCCCCTGAAGTCAGCCTTTTCTCTCCTTTGGAGCCTCCTGCCCTCAAAATACACAAATTCTTCCCTCTGCTCCAGCTAACAAATGGTAGGTAAACTCATTGGGGCAAGATTTGAACACCCTATTGCTGGATGTCAATCAAATTCAGGGAAAAAGTATTAGAAAGAACAGTATGATCACAGGTTCAAGCTGCATTCTCCAGGCCAGCTCCAACAGCAACACTGTTCCTATTTTAATCACTAACTGATTTCTCTGAGTAATAACTAGCTTTAAGTCCTCTGCTATGATCTTCTAAAATCAAATGAAAGGTTTCTCAGTAGAGAGAAATACCAACTCTTGTCATTTGTGCACAGTTACAGACATAGGCATGCTGAACTTTTTTTTTTTTTAATTTTACCTATAGGTAAAAAAGAAAATCATACAGAATACATTTCCAAACAAGAGCTATAGTCAAAAATAAATAAATAGGGGCACAGATAAGCTAATGTAGATGTCACAAAGTCCAAGTTCATGTATTACATTCATTGGAAAGTGCTTTATATCTTCAGTGTCTTCACTAAACACTTACTTGCTTTTTTCCTCCACACAAAGCTTAGTTACCTATTTCTAATGCACCAAGAAAAACCCATTTCCATGGAGTCAATTCTGACTCATATAGCATCCCTATAGGACAGAATAGAACTGTCCCATAGGGATTCCAAGGCTGTAAATCTTTATGGATGCAGACTGCCTCATTTTTCTCCTGTGGAGTGGCTGGTAGGTTTGAACTGCTGCTCTTTTGGTAAGCAGCCAAATGCTTTAACCACTGTGCCACCAGATCTCCTTTCCAATGCACTTCAGACTTAAAAACAAAACAAACAAAAAAGCTAATTAGAGACTGTTAAATATGAGAAGGCAATATCTCATAATTTAAAAGCATACAGGGAGGACTGTGCTTCACACTTAAACACCTCCTGAGAGGTTTTCTGTATTAAATGTTATATAATAGTTGATATTCATAATAAAGATCTTGGCCCAGTGACAAAATGTTACATGTACTTTCAGTAGCAGAATAGGCTTTTTAGTAAAGCCGGAAAATATATACTTTTAAACATACAAAATGAATTTAGCACTCAAACAGGTTTCACGTATATGAAATGTCAAACACAAGTCTCTCAAAATGTGGTGACAGATAAATGAATTATTCCTCTATTTATAAAAAACAGATACATGATTACCAAATTAATATGTATGTTTTAACCAAATGAGCAGATTTTGTTGAGTAAATTGATAGACAAATAAACAAATGAAGAAATTGTATAGGAGGAATTGGGCCTCCTTTCACGGGTTTTTGAGACAGAAGACTCAAGTCCTCCAGCCCAATCTATCTCTGAATGCAGGAATTTTTCCTAAAATTCATGGGAAGTCATTGACCCTGCCTCTGCTTAAACACTTTCAGAGATTGGCGGGGGGGGGGACGGGGCTCACTTTTCAGGTAATTTTTTTCCATTACTGGATAGCTGGTCAGGAAGATTTTTTTACTCTTAGTTGACATCTACTACCCTATAAATTACTTGTTCTACTTCTAGTCCTAGGATCAACATAAAGCAATTTTACTTCTACCTCCCCTCCATCTTTCACATGTCAACCCTTTAATTTAAAATTTAAAAAAAAAAAAAAAAAAAAAGCTTTTTATGGTGATTTGAGTGAAAGTTTGCACAGTAACTTGGTTTTCCATTCAACTGTTTACACACATTTTGTTTCATGACATTGAATGCAGCCCTATAATGTAACAGCACTCTTCCCTTTCCTCTCATGTTTACTGTTTCCATTTGTCCTTTCACATCCATTTCTGCCTTCTGAGCTTTATCCTTGGGCAAGTGCTTCCATTTTGATCTTGTATAGTCGATTGATCCTAAGAAGTGCATACCTCCCTGGTGTTACTGTTTACCCCATAAGCCTGTCTACTGTTTGGTTGAAAGTTAAGCCATAAGGGTGAGTTCAGTTCTAGGCCTGAAGAGTGACTAACAACACCATAGTCTCAAGCGTTCTACCATCTCTTTCAGACCAATAAGCCTGGTCTTTTTTCTTCTTTTGACTTTTGTTCCATACTTTTCTCCCATGCTGTCCAGGACTTTCTATTATGATCCCTTTCAGAGCTGTCAGCAGTGGTAGCCAGGTACTATCTAGTTCTTCTTTTCTCAGGTTGTGGAAGTTGAAGTTCACATGGTCCACTATTCCCCTGGATTAATTGTTTCCATGCATCTTTGATTTTCTTCATTCTTCTTTGTCCCAGACGGGGAGAGACCAATAGTTGTACCTTAGATGGCTACTCATAAGCTTTTAAGTCTCTACTTGCTACTTACCAAATGAGGATGTAGCACACTGTCTTTGTGGACTGTGTTATGCCAACTAGAGAAGCCAACTCTTTAAATATCTGAACACAGCTGTTACAGCTTCCTTTGTCCCTTTTCTAAGTGAAATATGTCATTTTCTTAATGATTTGTCTTACAGCATCATTTTCAGAAGCCTCAACATCTCATTCACTTCTTTCTGAATACTCTTAAATTTATTATCTATTTCTTAAAGAACAACATCCATTAACTGGATACAACACTCCTAACGTGTTGTGGCTAACAGAGCATACAGTGGAGCTATCACATCTCAACAGTGAATTTACTTTTCCACCAAACACATCACAATGTCAATTCATGTACAGAAGGTATCACCTAAGCTTTCTTTTTAAAGACAAGGAGGAACTCCGCACTCAAAGCAAAGAAAGAGCATCTGCAAAGTCACACAGGCATAAGAGAACAACATCAAGTTCTAAAAGTTGCAAAAACTTGTGATGCTCACTTGTCTATTTCCTTTTTTTCATTTTTGAACAGTTTACAGTGGCTTGGGTGAAAGTTTACAGAGCAAATTAGATTTCCATTCAATAATTCATATACTTTTGCTGTTGTTGTTGTTGTTTTTACATTGGTTGCAATCCCTTCAATGTAACAACACTCCTCTCACTCCCTTCCTGTGTTCCTGTTTCACTCCTCCTTCTTTTCTGCCCCTTCCTGTCTTCTAAGCTTTGTTTTGGGGCAAACGTTGCCCTTTTGGTTTTGCATGGTCGATTGAACTGAGGAGTATGTTCCTCCCTGGTGTATTTATTCACTTTGTTGGTTTGTCTATTGTTTGGCTGTAAGTTGATCTGCAGATTTCCTTCTAATTGGCTGCAACTGTAAGGTTCAGTGTGAATTTTAGCTTCACCACAATTTGAGTCAAATCTAATTATTGATGACGATCTTCTAATTACTTGCAATTACTGCAATTATTTCTTAACTGATGTTTTGAAACATAAATTGACTTTTAGCTCATAAAATTGCACACACTTAAAAAAGAACAACAATACTGTGACATTTAGATGCCCTACCTATTTCTTAGATCGTCATCTTCATGTCTCTTGGGCTGTGCCAGCTGGTGGATCCTTTTGGAGGGTTGGCTAAATAGTACAGGAGAAGGGATCTCCCAGATAACAGACTCTCTACCACAGCTGTAGTAATATAGAGACCTGCAAATTGTAGAAGATTGAAGAGGTAAGTAAAACAAGCATGATTTCTAATTATTATAGTGTCTTCCAACATTGATTACTAGCCTTAAGAAGCAGGTATGACAGTTTGCCTCTTTACTGCTAAGCTATTTTTCCTATGACAAGTGAATTACTTTAAAAATAGTTATAGCTGTTGAAAATAAGGAATCTGAGGACCAGTGTGACAGAGAGATTTAAGTTTCTGCAAACATCCTTTTTGTGACAAAGACATTTGTTAAGTGCAAACTAGCTCAGAATTTATCAAATGCAAAGAATATAACTGTAAGTACATTCTTTGCTTCCTAAGATATAACCTTTGGAATTCTCTGAATAATTGAGGTAACTTTTGCTTTTTTAACACAGCCATCCATCAAATTCTTACCTGGTTTCTATTCTCATATTCCAAGACCATCTCGAGAATAGATTTGATACATTGAACACTAATGATTAAAGACCAGACGAGTTGTAGGAGAGCATCATACATGAAGAAAGCAAAAAGCACAGATCCAAGTAGTGTTTCATTCTCTTGTACCTAGGGTTGCTATGAGTTGGAACCAACTCAATAGTACATAACAACAATAACAACTACATTTTTAGTTAATAGGATGAATTATACTGATACATTTTCTTGTATTAAAGAACTCTGAGTTTAGGGATAAATTCTACTTGGTTGTGGTGTGTAGATTATTCAATCAACATTGGGATTTTGTTAACTAAATTTTATTTAAGATAAATAGTAATATACTTCTTAATCACCCCTGTCCCTCAATCTTTCCTTAAACAAAATAAATTATACCATCAATGGAAAAGAAGTGATATTGACTATTTCAGATCTAGTGCTATGTCAGATTGCAGGTCCACTCAGTTACCACTCAGACTGCGGTTCTCTTTAATACTTTAGAGAGGTCTTTTGCAGATTTTCCCAATGCAATATGTTGAGTGTGGATTCATATAAAATGAAATCCTTGACAAATTCAATATTTTCTCTATCATGATGTTGCTTATTGGTCTGCAAAGGTTACAACCTTAAAAGCCCTATGGGGCATTTCTATACTGTCCTATAAGGTCGCTATGAGTTGGAATCCACAGCAATGGGTTGTTTCTTCATTTTGTTTTATTTTTTATTTTTCTGGTACTATCTATATGAGACCTAATTGACAACAGCAACTCAAAAGATTAGATGGGAAGCTTAGAGGGCAGTGAGTTTATGTTAATGGTGGAGGAATAATTATAATTCAGAAAAGGAGGGTGAAGGAGCTCTGGTGGCATTGTGGCTAAAGCACTTGGCTGATAGCCAGAAAAGGAAGGTAAGGATGGTTGCACAACTTAAAGAATGTAATCAATGTCACTGAACTGTACATGTAGATATTATTGAATTGGTATATGTTTTGCTGTATATATTTTTAACAATACAAAGAATATAAGATAAATTATTTTTAAAAAAGAATTAATGCCTTCTGAAGAATTCCTTGCAAGTTCCCTGAAGGGGTGTTTCCTTAACACTCTAACTTTTTTAAAAACCAGAACACCAATAAGTCAAAACATTATAGTAAGAGCTAGTACAAGTCTGCAATAGTTAAATATAAAATCTTACTCTGGAAATTTTTACTGTGGCCTCAGATTGAAAACAGATATAGAATCCCTAACCCTCAATAAAATTTGATGACAGATTGATCGAGTAATGGCTTTTAGATAAAAGTGTGGATCTCTGTGTTCATTTGTCCTAGGGACTCCTGATAAAGTAACCCAGTAACACAAATACTAACCTATTAGGTACGTATCGGTGGGACACTTTCTTGTGCTGGGCAAGGGACTCAAGTCTTTTGGTCAGCCGAGCCTTCAAAGCACTCTGGGAAATAGGGCGAATAGGATCTTGATTTCCCCAATACAGTTTTCTGTTAAAAATCAGAAAGATAAAATGGTAAGAAATTCATTGCTAATGAACATGTTAGAAATGGCTCTTGACTACTTCTATCCTAATTTTTCTTCCCTTCAAGAACTATCTCAGTCACAGAATTTTGAAGTTTTCAGACATAGCAGTGGATAAATCTTTTATGGAAGTTAAAATAAGAATAAAATCAGCATGTTTTATCTACTGTCTTAAAGTGTGGTGACCAAAACAGAACCTGTTAGAGAGAGTTCTGCTTCTGCCATCATGTAATGAACATTGTAATTTATCAGTAAGTCAGGCATAAAATGGGCATGCCAACTATATACAATGTGTCCCCATGCCTAGTGGTCAGAAAATAAAACAGTAACAGAATGGTATTAATAGCTATCATTTGTAGAATACTTAAACCAGCTATCATCAAGTTGACTCCAACTTATGGCAACCCCATGTGTGTCAGAGTAGAATTATTTTCCATAGGGTTTTCAATGGCTGATTTTTCAGAAGTCGATTGGCAGGCCTTTCTTCTGAGGCACCACTGGGTGGACTGGAACTTCGAACTTCAAACTTTTCAGTTAACAGCCAAGCATATTAACCATTTGCACCACCAAACACTGTGCTAAGTACTTCACCGACTCATTTCATCATCTCAACAGCCTTGTGAAACAGGTATGACTACTGTGCAGAGGGTGAAGAGAAGAGGAGAAATCAGTGCAGGATTACTCTGAAAAGGCTTCATGTAAGAAAGTAATAGGTGCAGAGTGACAGAGATGAGGAACATTCCATGATGGGGTCATGATGGGCATAAAAAAAAAAAATCACTGTCAAGTCGTATCCAGCTCATGGCAACCCCTCCTTGGGTTTCTGAGGCAGTATCTCTACAGAAGTAGATTGCCCAACCTTCCTTCTGAGGAGTGGCTGGTGGGTTTGAACCACCAGCCTTCTGGTTAGCAGTCAAATGCCTTAGGCACTATGCTACCAGGGCTCCTATGACGGGGCATGGGAATAGTCAAATCTTGAGCGAGGCATGTTGAAGGTGAAACATAAAGTCATGTTGAGAAGTGATTTAACTAACATTTCTGGAGTGGGTGGGAACAGCAGAAGAAGGCTTTGAAGGGCTGGTCAAGAAGTAGGAAATGGTAAGCTGATTTTCCTCACAATTGAATTTGCCAACTAATTGAGCCTATCCTTTTTGGAAGCCCCAATGTTCTGATTACCTAGTGCCATTTTGACAAGAATATACCACAAATGGGATGTCCTTAACAAACAGGAGTTTATTCTCTTACAATTTGGAGACTTTAAGACCAAGTTCAAAGTACCAGGCTCTAGGGGCTCAGTAAAAGCCCCTCAACCTTGGGCTTTAGCTCTGCCTCCAGCTCCAACCCACTGAAGCTAGAGGCTTTTCTTCACTCAGACAGCTGCTGGCTGTTGAGGCTGCCAAGCCCAAGGTTGACAAGTAAAAAGGCACAGGCCCAATATTACCAAATCACATGGCAGGCCATTAATTCAAGTCCACTGTAAGTCCCAAGGTTGGCAGATCATGGCAGTCTGCTGAACAATGACACGGCTACATACAGGGTTCAAGGTGCCATAAGCTAGAGACCATTCCCAAAGCTGCTTCTTATATATGGGAAGCAGACCACATACCCACAGCAGCTACTCAGCTGCTTGCAGAAGATCCCATCATGGAGTTGAAACCAGTCTCATCATGGGGAATACAATATCCAGCCGTCCAGCCACTCAACCAGGCCCAGCCAAGTTAACACACAAACGGAACTACCACACCCAATTTTATTTTGTTTTGAACTTTGTTTCTATTTTGGATATAATCTTTTCTTCTCTACTCTTTAAATATCAGCCAACATCATTATTAGAAAGTTAATTAATTAATATCACCACCCCTACATTCTACTGATTCTATTTTCTAAATATTTCTCAAATCTGTCCATTTCTCCTCATGCTATTGCTACTTCTCTTGTCCCAACCCCACCATCTCCACACTGCTGCCAGAATCTTTCTAAACACAAATCTAACCAAGACACCCCCTTGTTTAAGCTTAAGACATGTCAAAAGTTTCCACTGCCTTTAGAATAAAGACCAGACTTCTCACTGCGGTTTACAAGGCCCTCCACAATTTTGACAAAAAGTATCTGCCTCTCCAGCCTACACTTTATATTCTTCCATGGAAGTATCACGTCTTAATCTTCTGAAGACTTGCTCTTACATAGTTGCAAAAGGGACAAGAAGGCCACATGTTCTGACCTCCTCTAATCCCACAAGAGGAAGACAGAATCACCATCAATAGCCCAAGGCCTATTCTTGTAAGGCCAGACATGCTGCCTCCCTCCAGCCCTTTCTCCAACCGTTCTTCCCAAAGCACCCACCACCTCTCTCCTGGGTTCGATAATTCACTGTAGTAGCCACACAGAACTCACAGATTACGGGGTTTATTAGGGAAGCAACAGGCTACAACTCAAGTTCAGGAAGAACGCTCAGTCTCTCTCCCAGCCCACCATTCCTCAGCCAACAGTCTCTCACAGTCTCTCTCCCAGCAGTGCATGTCCCTTGGTGTCTCACTCAATGCATGTCTCTTGTGTCTCTTTCCTAGCAGCGTATGTCTCAGGAGCGCATGTCTCTTTCAGCAGCACGTCTTCCTCAACCAGCAGTCAGAGTGAGTTCTGCCTCTAGGAGGCCTCCTTTTGAGTTTGGCAGAGTGACCAAACCAACCAATCATAACAACAGAATTCTAAGCACCTGAGAGTGAGCTTCCCATAACATTGCATTGTGCCACGCCCAACAGAAATAACTCAGGTGGATAACATTTACAATCAGGAGCTCCTCAGTTGCTCATTCCACCAATGAGTTTACAATGACTTATGGCTAGAAAAGCCACACTAAGTAATTTACTACACTGCAATAGTGTAGTGCTATACACAACAGGCATTCAATAATGGTTTGGCAAATGAATGAACAAATGGTGAAAACTGGGTACTCTCCTGATGATGATGATGTGCAACAAAGATCAGAAAGGAAAAAATGACCACAGAGAGAATGCAGAGGTTTAGGAAACATTTGACAAGGGCTCTCTAAAGAAAAGAGTGGTGGGGTGTAATAAACATAGCTTGACCAGAGTAAATGATGCCACTAAGAAGCACACAAGAGAAAATTATATTTGTGCTAAAAAATATGATATATATATATATATATAATTTGGCAAGAACACCAATAATAACCAAAAATTGAACACATGGTCATATATGTAGGTGTATAGGCATACATGGGAGCTCTGGTAGCACAGTGCCTAAGGCATCTGACTGCTAACCAGAAGGTTGGTGGTTCAAACCCGCCAGCCACTCTGTAGAAGGAAGATGGAGCAATCTACTTTTCTGAAGATTTACTGCCTCAGAAACCCAATGGGGATAGCTCTAAGTCAGAATCAATTTGATAGCAGTGGGTTTGGCTTGGGTTTGTGTTAGGTATATATGTATATGGGTAGGTACAGATGAGTCCATATGTGTGCACAGATATGTACATGTACATGTGAATGCATAAATATGCACAGAGGACACAGTTACAGATACTTCTCAGACCAAACCAAAACACCTTGAGAGATTAGTTTTCTGGGTTTGAATGCTCGGAATCTTAGTCTCATGGGACAGCTCAGTCAACTGGCATAATATAATTCACAAAGTACATGTTCTATATCCTAGTGAGATAAGTAGTATCTGTGGTCTTAATGTGAGCAGCCATATAAGATAAAACTATTGGTCTCTACTCATCACGAGCAAAAGAGAGAGAAGAAACCAGTCTCAAAGAGGAACCTGATCTACAGGGCTAATAATGGCCTGTGCTGTGAATTACTTGGTATGGCTTTTCTAGCCATAGTCTCTGCGACTCCCACCAAATTACTGGGTGGAACTATGCAAATATAAGGGGATTGGATAGCTTGTGAGTAAGGTAAATAAAGTACATGGCACCCTTGGGGGGATGGGCCATGCAAATAAGGTATATGGAACTCTAATGTGGGGATTGGTTAGTTTTGTCATTTTGCTAGGCTTAAAATGAGCCCTCCTAGAGGCAGAAGGGGGAACTCACTGCCATTAAGAGAGAAGAACCAGAGTTGTAGTGCAGCACATCCTTGGACCTGAGATCCCTATGCTGGACCCCCTTGGCAGAGATGATCAACAGAGACAATGGCTGAGAAGACTGGCAGAAGAACCAAGAGATATGAGACAGAGCAATGGGCTTGCCAGCCCATGGAGCAAGAAAGCTGAGTGCCTTTGGGCAGATATCTTGCTGGCAGAGTGGTGTGCACCTTTGTGTACCTATCAGTAGAACTAAAAGACCTTTGTAACACTTGCCCAAGCAGGGCAGAGGCCAGGTCAAGAGGCCAAAGGCCAGGGAGGTATGCCTGAGGGCATAGCAGAGGGGAAACTGTCCTGATTGAAGAATTGTGTCCTGAGAGCATTCCTGAACCTGAATTGTAACCTGTTACTTCCCTAAGGAGCCCCATAATCATAAGTATTGTCTGTGAGTTCTGTGTAGCCAATGCCACGAATTATCGAACCCAGCAGAGAAGTAGTGAGTGCTAAGGGAGGGATGGTTAGCGGTTAGTGTCAGAGTTAGTAAAAAGGCTGGAGGGTAATGGCATGTCTAGCCTCATAGAGGAATAAGCCTTGGGCTGCTGATGGGAATTCTGTCTTCCTCTAGTGACGTTAGAGGAGGTCAGAAGATGCCACCCCATGTCCTTTTTGTACCTACATAAGTCACTGCCTCATCTACCCTGAGACAAGAACAAGATGGTACCTGACTACAACTACAAACAGTTCTCATCAGGGCCACATTAGATGAATCCTTACAGAATGAGAGAAAAATGTGGCCAGAACTCAAATTCTTAAAAATGTTCAGACTTACTGGACCAGTTAAGACTAGAGGACTCCCCAAGACTATCTCTCTAAGATACTCTTTAAATCTTGAACCAAAACTATCACCTAAGGTCATCTTTTAGCAAAATAACAGACTGGCACACAAAATAAAGTATATTACCCATGAGTACAGCATTCCACACCACTTATATGACATTAAAAGATCAACAGTTTGCTAAAGCAAATATGAAAAGATAAGGGAGCAGGGAAACCACAGCACTGGAAACAGAACAACCAGAACACAATTTTTAAAAATGTGGACACCTTGTGAAAAATATTAACTAATGCAATGGAACAATTTGTGTAGTGATTCTCAAATGGGAACCTAATAGGCTCTCTAAACTTTCACTGAAAAAAACACAATAAAATATTGTTTTTTTTTTTTAAAAAAAAAAAAAAAAGAAGAGAGTGGTAGGTAAGACGTGAGAGCATCATGTAATGGAAGTCAAGGATAGAGAGAATTTGAGATAAGAGGGTTTTAGTGGGTAGACTTGTACCCTGCATAAAGATATATTCAAGTCCTAGCCCCCATACCTGTGAATGATTTAGAAATAGAGTCTTTGCTAATGTAATCAAGTCAAGATGAAGTTATACTGAGTTAGAGTGGCTTTTCTTTACAACTTACACATGGCATATGCACCAGGGTTCCATCCTCCTCAGCATTTATTCAATTATAATAATAAATAATAATAATACATAATTCTTGTTGTTGTTACATGCTGTTGAGTCGGACTGACTCATAGCCACCCTTCCTTGGGTTTCCAAGGCAGTAACACTATGGAAGTAG